TTCATACACATGTATTCTGTCTTACCAAGACTGACTTTCATTCCTCTTCTTTTCAGAGCAGACCTCCACCTTTCCAGGTGTTCCTCCACCTGCTCTCTGCTCTCACTACAGATCACAATGTCATCCGCAAACATCATTGTCCATGGAGATTCCTGTCTGACCTCATCTGTCAACCTGTCCATCACCATAGCAAACAAGAAGGGACTCAAAGCCGATCCTTGATGTAGCCCCACCTCCACCTTGAACTCCTCTGTCTGACCTACTGTCTCACTACTGTCGTATTCCTCTCATACATATCCTGAACTACTCTGACGTACTTCTCTGCCACTCCTGACATCCTTGTACAATACCATGGCTCCTCTCTGGGCACTGTGTCGTACGCTTTCTCTAAATCCACAAGGACACAATGCAGCTCCTTCGGACCATCTCTATACTTCTCTATTAACATTCTCTAGAAACTCCACTGCTGTCTCTCCTAGACACTTCCACACCTCTACAGGTATGTCATCTGGACCAACAGCCTTTCCACTCTTCATTCTCCTCAGAGCCTTCCTCACCTCATCCTTTCTAATCTTTGCTCCTTCCTGCTCTGCAATATTCACCTCCTTCCCCCTTCTTTCCCTCTCATTTTCCTCATTCATCAGTTCCTCAAAATACTCCTTCCATCTTCTCTGCACACTCTCCTCACTTGTTAGCACCTTTCCATCTCTTTAATCACCCTTATCCGTTGCACATCGTTCCCATCTTTATCTCTGTCTCGCTAATCTGTACAAGTCCTTCTCACCTTCCCTTGTATCTAACCTGGCATACAACTCATCACATGCTTTCTGTTTGGCCATTGCCACCTCCCTCTTCACTCTACGCTGCATTTTCTTTTAATCCTGTCTACTGTTTGTACTTGTACTTGTAGTTTAAAAGCTTAAATCTAATGCATTGTTATTGGACCACCTCTCACCCAGTGTCAGCTGTGATTGGCCCCTGTGATTTATGTTATAAACCACTAATAATCTATAAAGAATTAGGGTGTTCTACAACATGTATCACTGATTTGAAGCCATTTTCAGGTTATTCAAAGATAGGAACACAACATATGCTGTGTGCTGCAAAAGGGTGAGGATTTTTATTGACATATTTGCTAGGGTTGTGTATTGGGAAGAGTCTGCCGATACGATATGCATCACGATACAGGGGTTATGACTCACTATGTAGTGATACTGTAAGCAAGGCAGTATTGTGATGTCATAAAATAAGCTACGCACCACCATATGCATAAAATCTCCTGTAAAAACATTTACTTTTTTATGCAATCAGAACATGGATCTGCATTTGCATTTGTCACACCAGAAGCACATATTTCTTTGCCTGCCATTTGCAGCATCTTTGGTTATAAAATCCTAACCTGGCACACAGACCGCTTCGTTGTCAGCCTTTAGCAGAGCAAACAGTTTCACTTGGCACAGCAGGGAAAGCACTGATGCTACTAATCGCATAAATGATATTTCTGTTTGATTCAAGTGACCCACTAACACACAACGTTGAGACAGACCAAGTCTTTTAGAAAACATTTCAGTGCCGTTTCAGAAGAGCAGTCAATCTTCTCAAACGACCTTAAAGTTTGCCATTTTTAATAAAAACATGTGTATAACCACTAATGCATGAGAGGCACAAACTGGAGCTAGTTATCAGCATGCACTGTCCTTTCAGTTTGTTACTGTGTCAAAGGTAACATCTGTGGCCAGCACCAGGAAAACTTACATAGCAGGGGAAACTGAAACTGCGGGGTCCTGATTATCACTGGAAATGTCTGTGAAAGACTTTCTCATGTTTTTGCAGGTGACACAGTGAAGATCGGAGAGATCTCTTACAAACTCAAAACACCCCGGAATCCAGAGCTTGTTCCTGTCAAACACAGTACGGCATTTTCTCCCTAAGTGTTTAGAGATATTTGTAGAGAATATGTCTGCATGAAATGAGATGAAATAAAAAGTTACTAAACCTTTATTTTGTTTCGTTGGCTAGTTTCAGACACCCTACCCCAAACAGTGGTTCAGCATCTACGATGGATTATGCAGAAAGACCTTTTGGGCCAGGATGTGTTTCTCATTGGTCCCCCAGGGCCCCTGAGGCGGTCCATAGCTATGCAGTACCTCGTGAGTACACACACCACGCACACAGACAAGACAACGCTGTGAAGTGATGGCATGTAAAAACTCTTATGTGTTGAAGTATTTGTACAAATCCGTTCTCAGATATAAATTAGGTAGTTTATCTTTGCTTCTTGGACTGACAGTGTTGCAGAAACATTTGTGGCAACTATTTCCCCTTAGAATGTATGGGATATGCTTCAAACGTTTTGGTCGAGATTTTAAGGTTAAGCACAAAATTCCCTTTAAAATGTCAATTCTTTTTGTCTGTATATACAGTATTTTTGTAATTTCCTTGAGCAGTTTTGAGGATGTACATTTTATTCCAGAAATTTAAAAAGTTGTTTTGGACAGTGTCACAGCCTCGCTCTCTCTGTTTTCTCTCAGCCATTAATGGCAGTTTGGCCTGTTGCTGACAAATGGTCATAATTATAACTGAAAAGAAATGGCTCCTAGATTGTTTTAGTATGTGCAATCTGTTTGCACAGTTCTCTCATTTTATATTGTACCAAATCAGCTTACAGCCTCTGTATGGGTTGTTCTGTGTTGCTGAGCAGGAGTTGACCAAACGCGAGGTGGAGTATGTAGCTCTGTCCAGGGACACCACAGAGACCGACCTGAAACAGAGGAGAGAGATCCGCTCGGGGACGGCCTTCTACATCGACCAGGTAGATCCTCTTGGTGCTTATAGTCTCTCTTTAGATTTATGCACTGTCTAAAAAGTTGGTGTCAAACCCACTTCAAGATAAACCAAATAATTCTTTATTTTTCACACAATTCCATTTAAATGTGATTTTTATGTGGATTCACTGCATGTTCTTTCAGTGCGAGTGTGAGTGTCAGTGTGTCATTTATATTTCCCTCACAGGCAGCAACAAAGTGTCATAGATACGTGTGTGTCCTCAGTCACATAAGGATTTGGAAGAGGTTATAATAAGCCTGTGAAGTGCTGGTGGAGTTAAATGAGTGTGGGCAGCAGCACACAGTAGGGGACACACACAGGACAGGAGGAGGAACTGGAGAAAAGCAGTTATCATGTGTTGGCACATTTACAGCAGACTGAGGGATTTTATTGAGAGATTTTCTGATTATATTTCTTGTGTTGGTGATAGCTATGGCCAGAAGCACTATGTCTTTGAATGCGATATCTCAAGAACAGCTTGAGGGAATTGATTCAAATTTGGCATATGGGTCCATCCGGATTCAAGGATAAGCTGATTGGATTTTGGTGGTCAGAGGTCAAAAGTCAAGGTCACTGTGACCTGCGTTCTTCCCATTCTTGTGACTGTGATACCTCACAACCACCTTGGTGGAATTTCTTACAATTTGGCCCAAATGTCCATTTGGACTCAAGGATGAACTGATTGGATTTTGGTGGTCAGAGGTCAGTGACTTCACTTCTATCCCATACTCGTGAATTTGACTGGTTGGCGGAGGCATACAAAGTGGTAATTCAGGTTTTAGACCTGGCACTGGGTTTAAAGAGGCCAGCACAAGCATTGTTTCATTTTTCATAATGTACTAGAGTGAATAAAACTAAAGCACATTTCGAATCACAATAATCATGCTGTGTCTAAATGTCTGAACACAGTGAGGACCTGCCATGACCAGTACTGACAGCAGCATGTGGAGCACATCTAGCACCTTGATGAGTTTCTTACTGGTACTAACTATCCAGTTTTTGAAGTTGGAGCAGTGACTGAGTGTGCCCCATCCTGTCTGAAGCGCACACATCTGAGCTGTTCAGCTGCAGTAACACAGTGTTAGCCTACATCACAGCAGTGGTGCCCTCTGTTACTCTTCCATTCTGTTCCTTTCCATGCCAATTTCTGATTGATCAAGCTTTATGCGGTTGTACACCCCCACATTCTGTTGACTTTGTAAGTCAAGTAACCATGGAGACCATCAATTTCTCATTAATCAGGGTGGTTTCTCTGGGAAGAACTTTGTTTTCCGATCATCTTCACTCATTTCTCAAGGGAACAGAAAAACGATAATGAAAAAACAAACCACATCTACATAAGCCTGATCACTAAACCCTGCCACTGGGCTTCATGGAGCCAGCGGTGACAAATGATGATAAGCTGTGATAATTAGCATTTACTCAGTCATGTCATTAACCACAACTAATTAGTGCATGGATTCGTTTGTGTAAATAAATCGGTTCAAACATCAGCTCCATGGAAACCGGGTGAAATGTGTCACGTTTTATTCGCAGCACACTTCACACATAAACCTCGTCTTCTGGAACAGCAGAACTCACAGTAATTAGTTTCGGTAGACTGAATATAGAAGGGAGTTCATTCACTGTGGAGTGTCACTCCCTTTTGGAAGTGTTGGCTCCTGCAGATTTTTAATTTGATAGTGTTGATATTTCTTTTACTAAAGCAAATTCCAGGGTTCCACAAGGGGGAAACATTACTAAAAACCAAGTGCCAGTGCTGTTTTATATTAGCAACCTATGCATGTGTGTAAAGGCGTGCTCACACCGACCTCTCCAGAAAACACCATAGTTTTCCCGTTGAATACGGTGCTATATGGCTGTAGTACCGTTACACAGGTTCTGTAGCAGGGACACAGTCTTTTTTGCACAGTTCATGGTGTCACAGTGTAAATGTACATACATTTAAAGACCTTAGTTGGGGTCCTTAACCTCCAGGCTACCAGGGTGCCACAACTTAGCTGCAGATGTGATCACACACGAATGTTCATTGACACTGAAGCCAGTCCAACTGCTAAGTCGCTCTGTAGTGAACCAGGGAGCAGTACATCCACCATCTGCTGTCACACACAGTACAGAGCTCAGAAGAGTCTTGTTTCTCTGTGCATCCACAGGTGTTATTGCCCAGATAACACCTGTGTCCTCTTGAGAGAAACTTCCAGCACTGGTGGTCTGATCTGATTGGCTAGTACAGAACAATTGATTTTTTTTTTAACCATGTTTCACAGCTGCTCTGCACCACTCCCTGCTGTGAAGTTGCATCACGTTCAGCGTTGGCATGTTAAGGACCCGAGTGTGTGTGGACAGTCATGTAGCTTCACTCTAAAAAACAAGAACACTTTCAACAAATAGTCCTGACTGTGTCATGGTCCAGAGTTCTCTCTGAATGACTAAACTGTTCTGTCTGTCCACTTGTCCTTTGGCACTGATGACACATTCATGTGCCAATAAGCTACTTTTTCTGTTTGCTGCAACAAGGACGGTGAACCAACCCTCCAGCTCCCTAAGGTTCCCACTTTCTCATACAAGCAGAAATGGGTGTCCATTGTTTCCATGGAAACATCTGTCGTTTAGACACAGCAGTCTTGATGGTACTAGAAGAAGAGATGGCTTATTCTGGTCTTCCTCTGAGTTTATTTATTGGGTAGAACCTGTAGAACAGGGGTGCCCAAACTTTTCCCCTCGGAGGGGCAAAATGAAAATGCGTTACTAGGCTGAGGGCCGGGTGGGCGGGGCGGGCGGGGGAGGGGGGCGTGGGCTGATCGGGGAGAAAGCTCTTGCATGACTAACTGAGAGGGTGAGAACGTCCTGCAGGTGTAGATCAGTCAGAGTGCTTCTGAGCCTGGTTTTGTTAAGGTTCATTACACTGAAAGTCTGTTCACAAATGTAGGTGCTGCCAAACAGAGATAACATCACCTGTGCATGCTTCCTAATGTTTGGGTACCGTTCTGGTGAGACGTGTGTAGAAGTCCTTCAGTTTCAGTGACATGAATTTATTCCTCAGGTTTAAATCGCACAGAAACTCAATCAGCTCCATCTGAATGTGATCAGGGACACAGTCCACACTTGTGCTGAAGGGTTGGGAAAACAGCTCCATGTCACCTGAATTCTTCCTGAAGTCCTGAAAGCGCATTTCAAACTCCAGGTCTAGGTTGCTGACAAGTGTTGCATATTCAGACAGTTTCTGTTGTACCAGGTTTACCTCTCTCAGACTGGGGAAGTGAGCCAGGTTTCCTGAAAAGAAGTAAAAAGTAATTAATAAATCAATGCAATAAATATTGCAATTTTCACTCACTAGTAATGTCATATTCCACATATCATACAACTGACAGTTCTGTTCCTCCACATCACATGATCACATTACCATTAAAATTATGTATTTTGTGCAAGGCATTAACTCACCTGCTGACAGATGTCGACACAGTAGCTGCAGTTTTCTCTGAAAGGCCTTTATGTGGTCAAACATCTCCGTAATAATTAGCTGAGAGGCTGATCTGGGAGAAAGCTCTTGCCTGAGCGGGACACACTAGCTTTGCAGCCGTGGATAAGCATTCTTTAACAAAGTCCCCTGTAGAAAATGAACGTCCACTCCTGGCAATTAGAGCTGAAATCTCATAGCTGGCCTGTGTTGCGCTTTCCTGGGCTGACGAGGGTCGTGTGAGCGAAGTTTAGCTTACAACTCTCGGCTCTTTGTCTTCCGTGCCTCACCTTTGAACCTTGAGAATGCTGCATGCCTCGTTTCATAGTGCGGATATTGTACTCTTTTAGCACAGCGACAGACTCACCACAAATTAAGCAGACCGCCTTAGAATTAATATCCATAAAAAAAAATTCTTCCTCCCAGGTTCGTTTAAAATGCCTTTTGTCTGTGTGCCACTGTCTACTGCTCTCCATGTTGCTTGCTACTGCTCCATTCTTCGTGTTGTTGCTGTTGTTGTTGTTCTTCTTCTTCTCCTTGTTTTATTGACGGGTCGTGAGCTGAGCTGGGAGCTGCTTGACCTGACAACTGGGGTGGCATAATAAATTGTGGGGGGCCAAGAAATGGCCCGCGGGCCCCACTTTGGGCACCCCTGCTGTAGAAGATGTGACTTTCCTTCCTCTATTTTTTCTTTCTTCTTACCCTAATTTATTAACTTGTTTTCTTTATTTTTATTACTCCCCCCAATCCCCAGTGGACAGCTGTTTAAACTGTTTTTCTTGGATGTGCATGGGTCCTCTTTGTGTAGTTGCATACCCACTACAGTGGACACTATTGTGTCATCCCATGCTTCTCCACCCACTAATCAGCCATTGTTAAGTGCAACAATCATTTTTCAAAACCAAGATGGCTGACGGAAAGCCAGAAAGGCTGAGTGGCTTAGGATTTTCTTGCCAGTCCTTCTATAGGAGGAGACCCTTGAAAGTAAAAAAACAAATGGTAGTATAAACACCTAAAGAAACATATTGTTTTCCAGGTATCGAGTTTATCTTGGGAGAAAATTACAATCAATCATCTGTCCACTAAATTGGAAAAATGCATGTAAAAAAGTGAAATTCAGTTTTTTTCTTTTCATGCACAAAGAATAAATAAAGACAGGCAAAAAAAATCCAGGCTTTGTCTTTCATAATTCATGCATGAAAGAGCAAAATAGGTAGAGTTGAATACAACCACACTACACACCGTAATGCACACAACCAAATGTAAAACCCGCTACATCTTTTTTGTAATTATCCTGTATGTTTTGTAATTGCCGTGCTGCATCCTTTTGCCCTGTAAACGTGCTATTCTGTGTTGCAATAAAAAAGTTGATGAAAGAAAACCATTTAAATTGTTGAAAGTAAAAAAACATGATACACATGACAGTATCTTACAGTTATTTTGTGTGAGGAATTGAAGATGTGTGGGTGCAAATAAGCAAGATTTTGTCTTTGAGGATAGTTTGCTGTTGTAGGAGTCGTCGTAGGAGGTGTGTGTCTATGTGCTAACTAGAACGTCCAACTACTCCTCGGGGCCCTGTGCTGATTTTGAGCCCTATATTCAGACTTAACCATCTCTCTCTTTAGTTCTTTTTTCTTTTCATCTTTCAGTCCTCACATAACCCCAGCCCTTTTGCAGAAAGGATGGCGTCGCATGGATGTAATGACATGCTTTGTTATTTTTTGACAACTCCAGTCACTGCTCTTTAGCAGGTTGTCGTGCAAGGTGACTTACCTCACACCCACACTGCAAATAAGACAGGAGGTTATAGAGTAGTGAAAAACTTGCCATCTCCACTAGATCAGATTGTGTGGCCAACCAACTGTGACTTTCTGCAGCAAATTCTTTTTTCCAACTAAATTATTTGGATACGCTTTTCAGAAAGGTCAAATCTGTTTAAAGCTCACAGTGCCACCTACAAACGTGACCACTGGGGATCAAAACAAGGCAAACCCAAACAAAAATGTGAATAAATAAAGAAATAATCATAAATGTGATTGAAAACAATGCTTGAAGATGGATTAGTGAAAGAAACATGGTCAATACTGAATTAAGACAAAACTATGCAAGTTTGGAGGTAAAAACAGGAACAGTTTGTTGTAAGTGTAGAAACCTTTATCCGGGTGTTTGGGAACAGAACATTTCTCAAGCAGAGATAGTGGAGTACAAAGGATTTGTGTGTAGTGGTTTAAATTTGGGTCTTACCTACAAACAGTATGGAAATAAAGTTATACTCAGTGCCATGCAAAGTTGTTACTTTGCGTATACATGCAAGGTTTTTTGGATGCACATGCATTTTAACTAGCACACACAGAATGTGCAGTATGGACTGACAATAAAACAGTATGTACAGCACAATCACTGCAGAAGATGACATGGAAAATGGTCATTGTGCCACTATTAACTTTCACACTCCTTTTAATCTTTCAGTTCATCTTCCTCTGACGTCCATTTCTAAGTATGTGCTAAAAACTTCTCAGCGCCTGATGGACTAGTGTTCAACAGAACACGAGGCCGGTTCGTGTTCTCTGGCCATCCTGTGTCACTTACATTTCTGACAATTAACTGATTATGGCTTTGGTGCTAAAAATGGACTAAGAGTTAAATATAGAGCATGTGGGCCTCGCTATAGTTTTATGGCTCCCACATAATCTGCCACGTTGTTTCCATGTTAACCTAATTACATGCTCGCTGGCTCTGCGGTCCGCCCAGACAGCTAAAGTTTCCTGCCTCTTGACGTCAGATGTGCTTTTTGACTTCTGAAGAAATGTGCGTCTACACACAAATATATGTATGTGTAGCAGAACTGAGTTTGGTGGTAGAAAAATAGACCTTCCTAAAACAGTTGAGACTGTTTTGAAGCTTGAAGTAGTTTGGAGACGTGCCGAACCCAGTAAGCTGTTGACATCCTCAGGAAAGCTTTAATGGCAAACTCACGCTGTCATTAGCGCATGGACAGTAAGAACTTGTGCACAGCCACAGTGCTCTTTGTATGGATGTTTTCAACCACAGGGTCAGAGGTTGTCCTGGGCAGTGGAGCAGCAGCGTTGACCTGAGGTCACGCTGGTTGCAGTAGGTAAAATTAGCCATACCTGACCCACATCTTCCCTGCATCTGCAGTCAGTTCTTGAGTGTTGGTTGAGTTCACTGATTAGTCTCCACTTCTGTTTATCTGCAGTGTGCTGTAAGGGCAGCGACACAGGGTCGAGTCCTGGTCCTGGAGGGCCTGGAGAAGGCTGAGAGAAATGTTCTGCCTGTGCTTAACAACCTGCTGGAGAACAGAGAGATGCAGCTGGAGGACGGACGATTTCTTATGTCAGCCGAGCGTTACGACAAGCTGCTGCAGGTCAGCGCAACATACTCACCTAAATACTCAAAGTCAGACTTGCTCAAAGCTTGCTAAGGTATTCTCAATTATTCACTCCTCTGTGGTTTACATTTAAGAAAACAGTACTTGAAATAAACATGACATTGGCTGTTGTTTATGGAGCCCTATCTGTCCAAATCTTCACACTTGAGGAGTGAATTTTCACACTACTCCTACAGTGCTCTTCTTGTGTTTAGACAGAAAATATCTCTTGCCATAAATGACATAAGACATTCAGAGTCTGTACTTGTTATACTGCAGCACTTTGCATAAAATGTGCATCTGATATACTAAATGACAGGAATTAGCTGTAGACAGCAGAAAAGGACTGGAGTGTTGTACATCCTGATGCATTGCAGGAGCACACCAAAGAGGAGCTGGACAGCTGGAAGATCGTCCGTGTAAGCGAGGACTTTCGGGTCATCGCACTTGGTCTTCCTGTTCCCAAGTACAAGGGCAACCCGCTGGACCCTCCTCTTCGCTCCCGCTTCCAGGCCAGAGACATCTTCTACCTACCATTCAAGGTCAGGCCAGGAATTTACATATTATCTAGCTCCAAACATTTCCACCAGTAAAATGTCTCCGTGATGAGAGAAGCAGACTTGGAAAAAGGGGAGATTATCTAATCTTGTTAAAAATAGTTCCTGTAAAGAAAGTTGGAGGTGAGATCTGTGGATCATGCAGAAGAAATGGAAAGACACGTTACGGCTGAATTTTGGGTTGAAAGTAATTTTTCAGCATTTGCAATTTGAGTGAACTGACCCTTTATGTAGTAGTTTGTCAGAAGTTAAGTGTGAAACTACACTTTTTATTTCTATGTGTCAAATACAATAAATGAACATTTGATGTTTTCTGTTGCCAGCCTCGTTCAGGTTCTTGTGAACATTAATTCAGCCACCACTCAGTGTTGTAGTGCTCTCAGCCAACAGATTTGGAACTTAAACTGAGTCCTCAAACTTTTCTCTATGTCCCCAAATTACTAATTTAGAGGCCTAGATGAATTTAATTAATTAAACTGAAGCAGATCTAAGTGTATAGCCTTACAGCTGTGCTCGTCTCAATATCCTTTTCTTTTCAGGATCAGTTGGAGCTGTTGTACACAGCAGGCCCAAACATTGCTGCAGAGAGGTAAATTAAAGCAAACACCAATGGAACCCTTCACTTTTATAGTCTCTGAAGTTGTTGTAGTTGTTCTTCATGTGCAATGTTGTGTTGTTTCCTGTATGCCAGGGTGTCCCAGCTACTGTCACTAGCCACGGCGCTGTGCTCGCAGGAGTCATCCAGCCTGGGCCTTCCTGACTTCCCTGTGGACAACCTACTTCCTGCCCTTCACCTGCTGGTGAGAATCCGGGCACCATATGGCCTGCTTACCGTTCCTTAGAGAGGGAGAAAAAAAGAAAACCCAAGAATAAAAAGAGAGAGAGACCTGTGTTGGTCCAATGCTTGTCCTGCTTATGTGTTGTTGCAGAACACTTTCCCCATGCTGTCCTCCCAGCAGCTAGTCCAGAGACTTTACCCCTACCGCACTATCTTGGGCAAGGATGGGCACACTGCTGTGGAGGGTTTGCTCAGTGTAAGTCATACTGTTCCTAGCTGTGGTATGTCTGTGAATTCATCTAACATGCATGTTTGTTGCTCTGAACATGAGATACGATTGCTTGGTCAAATGCAATCATTTCCTTTGTTTTCACTTCACTTTTGCCATAGCGCTTTGAGCTTCTAGATGGTCGTCGCCACCCAGCACCCAGTGGCATTTCGAGTGTGTCCACAACAAGGGCTCTTGAGGGTTATGCAGATGTCATATTACGTGTTGCAGACAAGGACATCACCTTTCAGGTACTGGTATAGTAGCCTGACAGTACACCGTGTCAGTCTAAATGTAGTGTGTGCCCCATGTGGACAGAACTACAGCTTCTCTGTGTCGGTGGACTGGAGCTTTAAGTATATAAAGTACTGCTATTGCTGCAAACCACTGTTAAAAGTATTCTGAGTCCTGCATTGTTTACATTCATGTTGCACCCTACAGCCTTTTCTGCTGCATTGCTGTTTCTTGGCATATTACCATCACCTGTAGATCAGTGGAATACTGTGAAGCCACTGGCAGGACTGTTTGTTACATGAGAGAAACAAAATGTGGCTTCACTCACAAAAACAACTGCTCAATAAAGGTCAGAAACTCCAGGTAACTTTTAATGGTTTAAATGATGTTGGTTACCTTCTTCTACACTGTATAGCCAGGTTACATTATCACCACCAGGCCCCCATCAACATGTTTCTGACAAAAGAGAGTCAGTAAGTCACATCATATCATGGACATATCAGTGAGATGTCCATTGTCCCATGACAGACCACACACACATGCTGTACACACACAGACACACTGTATCACTAGCTTGACCATCTTATCTCTGAGTGATATTCTGTAGTTGACTTTGTAGAGCCTTCATCAGGCCTTATTTCTTCCTCTTAGATGAAAACTCAGTCACTGTGTAGGGTTTGAAAGATCAAATATTCCAGACTTCTGAGTAAAGTGGTGGTGATCATCCAGCCAAAGTATATGACTTTTATAAAGTTGTATTTTCTTTATGTGTAATCCTTTGGATTCTAATACGCGGTGCTTTATGTCCCAGATTTTGTTTCCAGCCATGTGCCAGTGATGCGGATACAGCTGTGAATTCTGGTTTATTTAAAGCTAATGTCTGTTCAGTCAAAAGAGTCCAGTGAGACTCAAATCAAACAGACACCATCAGCTGCTCCTAATCACTCTTTGTCCCTCCCATCACGTCCTGTTTCCTGAAGCTACGACATGAACTACAGATGCCTGGTTGGGACAAACTGTCCTAAATGCATCCTCCAGTCTGAAGCTAGCATTAGCCGACTAACAGTAAATGTGTCCAGTAGAAGCTCTGGTTACTACTGATGTGACGCAAAGCACTGACATTACACAAAGCTCCAGTTCCTCCCAAATTAAAATGCTATTAATTCAACACAAAGGTAAAATCCTGACCATGCTAGGTGGCTAATGCTACCAAAACAAACAGGTTAGCTTTAGATGCTAACACATCCAGACAGAAGAACGCCACATCTGGATCCAGTCTGAGTCCTCTGGCTGCTTTTAACTCTCTCCATGTCAAACAGCCAGACCCATGTTAACCCTGGTTGTTGCTCTTTCTTTGTCCCACTCTCTCTGTGCAAAAGACGCCACCTCTTCACTCTGGCAGCTACTGGTTCAGACCTTTAGCCGCCCAGAGCTCCTCCATGGCTGTTTGACATGACTACTGGTGGCTGGAAAAACCCTTCTTCTAACCTTGGCTAGGCGGCAGGCGGGGCTAATTTACAGACCGTACTTTGACAACACAGGGTGGAGAAGCTGGAATAACAACAGGAGGCTGTAGGCAGCAGAGGGTCATGGAGGGGGGGTGTAGCTGAGAGACACCATGTCCTGTCCCACTGTCACTGGGTTTGTCAGACACTGTGGGAAAACTTTTGATAATGCACACTAAAAGGAAGATTTATCCACAGCTTTTATAGACGGGTGAAGCTGCTGGTTATTTTTCATGGCTGTATCTTACTTCCATCAAACTTCAGGTCCCAGCAGGCACCAAGGAGCTACGCCCACCCAACGCTAGCCCCAACTTCATCAGCACACCAAGCCACTCCCAGCTGCTGGCTGAGATGATGCAGTCACACATGGTTAAGGATTTATGTCTTATAGGAGCCAAGGTAGCTAACACCTAATGTAAAGTACATTGTACACTTGGTGAAGGTGATTTCGGGTAACAATCATTTTGTATTTTCTAGGGTTGTGGCAAGTCAGTGATTGCCAGAGAGTTCGCTGAGATGCTTGGTTACAGCGTGGAGCCAGTCATGCTCTACCAGGTACATAAAAACTGGTCTTGAAAGATTCACATATGAATCCACAGAGCATGTGGTGCAACACAGCATTATTTGTTATGTAAAAGCCCTGAAATAATTAATGAGACTATAATTTTTTGACCACCTGTCCTTCGTTGAACCTATATTGTAAAAAAAATAGCAATGGTATCTTGTTCATACATCATCCTTTTTTTTTCTAAAAATAGATTTGCCCATTTCAGCAGGGAAGCAAAAAACTGCGGCATGAGGTATGGGGCTATCCACTACCCCACGTGTTACAGAAGTGACTGATCATTTGGCTAATTTCTATCAGTCCATCCAGAGTGATTGATTGGTTTAAAATCAATTGTGAGCACCTGGCATTGTTCACACTGTGGGGACTAAACCATGCATACACACTCGCACTGAGGTCACTCGTTTTTTCTCCTGGGTAAATTATCGAAATTTTAGAGTGACGGCGTGGTCAAGGCAAGTAGTGGCCGTTTCTCTAGGAAATGAATGTAAGTCAATATAAAGTCCCTATGAGGAATGAAAACAAATGTGTGTGTGTGTGTGATTCTGTGGAATGCAGCCGGGCGCTGATGGTGCAGGAAGCCTTATATATTAATGCATCATGCTGCAGCTATTTTTATCCAACTGAGGTCAGGGGTGACTTGTGCTGCGGGAAACGCAGGAAATTCATTTTGTCGGCTCTGAAAATCCCATTTTTGGAAAACAGTGAAATCTGAAAGTGGACTATAAATATATTATGTGTTGGTGTGCATTCTTCAGTGGAAAAACATAACAAAAGCCTTGCTTTGTAAGGAAAACATTTTTTATTTTGCAAGCAAAAATGATCTATATTGTCTCTGAATATTCAATTTATTTCTGAGTAGCTGCTTCCTTTAATAACTGAACACGGGCAACAAAAGGAGAAGCATAAAAATATTAACACACATGTAACAAGCTGTGTATTTAAGGAATGAACCTGAATTCACGCCCCCCATACAGAGGTTTACACAGACGTTCAGTCAGAGGTATCACTGCTTAACCAAGCCTGAGTTAGTTTTGCCTTGTGGATGTTTGGAAGCAGCTTTGCAAATAAAGCTTGAACGCGTCACAGGTGATGTAATCATGACAGAATGAAGCACTCAAACACACTTTCCACACTTTTACATTGTGGTAAACCAGTGTGTGGAAAAAGTGGTTTTCTTTCTTGTATAAACTACATACACAAAGTACCCCGTATAACATTTTAATTAGGTTACAGTATGTGAATGTTGTTTAAAAAAATGCATTTATTATAGGATCACAGATGAATTTATTGACACCATTTTAATTCTGAAGCTGGTTGCAGGGGAACTAATGCACATGTTGCTTGGTGGTTCAGTCAGTAACACTACATACTTTCTTGTTTTGTTTTGGAAAATTGATCTGTAACTGTGTGTTTGCAATATGTAGTTATGTAACCGTGCAAAGTACAGTGCATTGGTAAATGTACTGGTTTACATTTCACCACACTGAGGAGGTAAAGTTACATAAGAGTATGTGAGTAACTGTACACCAGACGGGTAATCAAATATAAAGCTTAGTGTACATTCAGAATTTGAATGGCTGTGATTTTTCTTATGTCACAAGCAGGCACCTTAATCAAGATAAGAAATCATTTATTACCTTTCATAAAGATCCAGGTTGTGGAACCTACTTATCTTGACAGCTGCATAATGGTTGTGTAGACGTGTGGTGCTAGAGTGCTCTCTAATCTCTTGCTCTGCAAGTTGGCAAGTCTGTTCAGGTCTGCTTACGTCTGAAACAGGGACGCAGTCATGATGTACAGTGGTGTGAAAAAGTGTTTGCCCCCTTACTGATGTCTTATCTTTTTGCATGTTTGTCACACTGTAATGTTTCAGATCGTCAAACAAATTTATATATTAGTCAACGATAACACAAGTAAACACATCATGCAGTTTTTAAATGAAGGTTTTTATTATTAAGGGAAAACAAAATCCAAAACTAGCGTTTTCGATAACTTGCCATGAGTCTTTTACAGCGCTGTGGAGGAATTTTGGCCCACTCATCTTTGCAGAATTGTTGTAAGTCAGCCACATTGGAGGGTTTTCGGGCATGAACTGCCTTTTTAAGGTCATGCCACAGCATCTCAATTGGATTCAGGTCAGGACTTTGACTAGGCCACTCCAAAGTCTTCATTTTGTTTTTCTTCAGCCATTCAGAAGTGGACTTGCTGGTGTGCTTTGGATCATTGTCCTGCTGCAGAACCCAAGTTCGCTTCAGCTTGAGGTCACAAACGGATGGCCGGACATTCTCCTTCAGGATATTTTGGTACACAGCAGAATTCATGGTTCCACTTATCACAGCATGTCTTCCAGGGCCTGAAGCAGCAAAACAGCCCCAGACCATCCCACTACCACCACCATATTTTACTGTTGGTATGATGTTCTTTTTCTGAAATGCGGTGTTACTTTTACGCCACACATAATGGGACACACACCTTCCAAAAAGTTCAACTTTTGTCTCGTCTGTCCACAGAGTATTATCCCAAAAGTCTTGGGGATCATCAAGATGTTTTCTGGCAAAACTGAGACGAGCCTTTATGTTCTTTTTGCTCAGCAGTGGTTTTCGTCTTGGAACTCTGCCATGCAAACCATTTTTGCCCAGTCTCTTTCTTATGGTGGAGTCATGAACACTCAGCTTAACTGAGGCAAGTGAGGCCTGCAGTTCTTTGGATGTTGTTGTGGGGTCTTTTGTGACCTCTTGGATGAGTTGTCGCTGCGCTCTTGGGGTAATTTTGGTCGGCTGGCCACTCCTGGGAAGGTTCTCCACTGTTCCATGTTTTCGCCATTTGTGGATAATGGCTCTCACTGTGGTTCGCTGCAGTCCCCAAGCTTTAGAAATGGCTTTATAACCTTTTCCGGACTGATAGAGCTCCATTATTCTCTTTCTCATTTGTTTTTGAATTTCTTTGGATCTCGGCATGATGTCTAGCTTTTGAGGATCTTTTGGTCTACTTCACTTTGTCAGGCAGGTCCTATTTAAGTGATTTCTTGATTGCGAACAGGTGTGGCAAGAGAAATTGAACTCAGGTGCGATAAACCAGTGTTTTGACAGGGGGGCAAACACTTGTTCACACAGGGCTCTATAGTTTTGGATTTTGTTTTCCCTTAATAATAAAAACCTTCATTTAAAAACTGCATGATGTGTTTACTTGTGTTATCTTTGACTAATATATAAATTTGTTTGACGATCTGAAACATTACAGTGTGACAAACATGCAAAAAGATAAGAAATCAGTAAGGGGGCAAACACTTTTTCACACCACTGTATGTTACCAGAAACACTGAGAGACAGTGATTTCTCCCTGTCAATGTCTTGCTTATCTTTAATGGCTCATGCCTGCTGTTGGTTAATGACACCACACGTTTCCCTTAATTCGTTCTGCTTCATGATAGCACCGAGTGTTTTTGACTTAGTGTGATGCGAAACATCATCTTACTGTAGAGCAGTTAGCAATTCAGCAGTCTGCCTACAACAAATAGTGCAAGTCTGTGACTCTGTCATGACACAGGGGTGTTAGAATGAGTATGACGCTACAGTTCATGCAGTTAAGTAAAGCTGAGGTATCAGCTTGACCTTCTTTTTCTACCTTGTCCTGCTCCTTTTTGCCCCCACCTCCTGCCTCTCACTGCTCTCTGTTCACCTCCAGGACATGACAGCCAGGGACCTTCTCCAGCAGAGGTACACCCTCCCCAACGGAGACACAGCGTGGAGGCCGGCCCCACTGGTCACTGCTGCCATGGAGGGCAAGCTGCTGCTCCTTGACGGTATACACAGAGTCAACCTGGGAACCCTGGCTGTGCTGTCCAGGTACTTCAGTGTGTTCAAAGATATATACAGCTTACTGTGTTGAATGAAGAATGCTGTTTTATTTCTGTATTCTCTGTTGTGTTTTTGTAGCTGCTGCTCAGTTTGAATGTGTTTTCCCCTTAAACTTCTTATGGCTGCTTTTCAGGAGTGAATGGAGCTGCTGCTGTAAATTGCAAATACAAACACTTCTCAGCTCATTCCACTGTGTTTTGTGTCCCAGGTTGCTTCATGACAGGGAGCTGGATCTGTACGATGGGAGCAGGCTACTGAGGTGGGACAGATATCAGACACTAAAGGAACAGCTGCAGTTTAGTGACCAGCAAATGCAAGAGAGGTATATACACACACGCGCGCACACACACACGGAAAGGTCAGGAGCATTTTTTGGAGCGTTTCTGAATCAGTATTTGCATCAAGCATGGAAACACAACAGAAGTGGTCCCTGACTTTCCTGAGACGACAATAACCACATTCAGCATTAGCACCATAATGGGAAGAAAGGCTGTTTACATTCATAATCTCATGCACTTTGGGGTGAGAGATGAGTGAAGAAGAACCCATTCAAAAAGAGAAAAAAGTCACATAGTGTTTCTGTTAAATTTGAAGCCTCCCTTCTGAACAAGTATCCATCATCCAACTAACCCAGAACCTCCATGCAGGAAGGAGTCATTCCAGGTGTTCGGACTGAAAATAACCCCAGGTTACATACTGCTTAGGTCTGCACTGGTGGGGAGTGTTGGCAATATGACCTAAGAAGGGCAGTTTTAGTAACAGAGACGCACTGTACAGCGGTTTATAAAAATGTACGATATTATTGTTCTTTGCACTGCTTGGCATTTACATTTTGTTTGTGACTGACCATTGTTGGTCTTGACCTTAACTGCTTCCCGTATTTGGCTCATGAAGTGTGTGTTTCTCTGTGTGTGGGTGTGTACATGCACATTTATGTGGTACGTCTTAACAACCCACCTAAGCTGGCAGGAAGGATGTTTGTGGTGGTGTGTCTGGGCTGAAATAAACCCACTTCCTCTTCCTCCCCTCCTGTGGCTCAGACAAAATGTGTGATTTGTGTGTGTGTCTGCCAGGGTTTTACTGTCCAGTCCAGTACAGTACAGGTTGCAGTTTCAGTCTTTCAGTCAGTATCCAGTTCAACATTTAAGGCTCCTTGTCCACCAAACAGAGATATGAAACTGTTATTGGTGGATGAGAAACAGCCAGCAAGTTGTTTTCAGGTTGTTATGCAGTGCCCTGTTTTCACCATATGGAGATGGAGAACGGTGTGTTCTTTCCTTAGTTTCATCAGTTCTTAAAACACTTTGGCAAACATCAGGTGTGCAGTGATCATTTTATATATTTGGATAGCAGTGGCTTCTTCTGTGGTGTTCTGCCATGGACTCCCTGCAGCTATGCACCTTGTATGGTAGACTGGACAGAGATATAAACCAGCTCCCTTGATTCCTTTCAGCTTTAGCCTTTAGCCTGTTACTGTGGGCTTCTTTTTTTAACCTCACTGATCATTCTGCATCGTATCTTTGGAGTCGTCTGAGCTGGAAACCCACGTCTAGGGAGAGTAGCCACAGAACTGAGTCATCTCCATTTATAGACAGTTTGTGTAACTGTGTAGTGGCGAGGATCTAAACTCTGAGATTAGTTTTTGATCCTTTCCAGCTTTATGTAAATCAACAGCTATTGATTGCAAGTCGTCTGAGATCAGCAGATGCTTCTAGTGGACAGAAAGCTCAGAGAGTTTAAGTCAGAGCAGCTGTTACCCACAGCTCCACTGTGGTTTCACTGACTGGACTCCAGGATTCCAACTCCTGACTGCAGCTAGTTTTTGTTGAGACCTTTAGTTTTAATGATTTATTCTGTATGATTAAGAACAATTCAAAAATGTATGTGTTATTAGTTAAAATATATTGTGTTTGTTCATAGTTGTAACATAGATGAGGATTTGATTTTAAGACAAATCTATACATAAACGCAGGTAATTCCAAGTTGTGCATGTGTGTGTATGTGTGTGTGTGTGTGTGTATTCTACTCCAGAAAGAAAGGAGACACATGCAGCCCAGTTTAGCTTAGGCAGTTGATTTAAACATTAATGTCCCTGCTTCCCTGACAGCTAATGTTGTAGCAACAGACCACAAACCACACGCTGGAGCATCCGACTCCAGAGCAGCAGTAAACTTGTTACTGTTGACCAAGACAGCTTTCTTTAATGTTTTGATATTTAAGTTACATTTATGTAACTGAGACATAAACAGACTGAATGGAGAAGGCAAGACAGGGAGAAAATGAGGGGCCTGAACTTGGCTTTTATTTTTTTAATGGAAAGTAGAGTACAGTGCTAAGCCAAATAAGAACACTCTCTGATGTCTTCATCTACGTATGAAATGTCTTGCCACACACTCATCTAGTGATGATGATGATCAGTGCCTGCTTCCACCCACATTACAGTAAATATATCCTGTTGTGACAGTGTGACTGTCTCCGTGAGTGATAGAATTGGACTTTGCTGTCCTCTTGAATCAGAAGATTACACAGCCAGCTGTCAACAATCATGCTCTGGTCCCTGACATCGACTGGGTGTGACACAAGCACCATGTGCACCTGCACCCCACCCCACATCTACTTGAACAAGTGTTCAAATGTGTGTATTTTTATGTCTGTAACTGTTATCCTCTGTCTCTGTGTGTGTTTTAGGTCAGTCTTCCCCATCCACCCGTCGTTCAGGGTACTGGCTCTGGCTGAGCCCCCTGTTGTGGGTGCCAGTACAAGCAGCAGCAGCAGCAGCAGAAGTCAGCAGTGGTTGGGCCCAGAGCTGCTCACTATGTTCCTCTACCACAGTGTCACCCCCCTGTCCAAAGCGGAGGAGATGGACCTCATACAGGGACTGGTGAGACACACACACGCTGAAGAGCAACACCTCCATACAGAACTGACCTGATATATGGTGTATTTTGCACTGATCACTGCTTTGTGTTTGACAGTCAATGGAAATGAGCAAAAATCTGTGTGATAAATAGTTCTGATCAAACTAAGTAAAGACTCTGTTGTTGTAGAACTTGGAGCATTGCTGTTTTACTATGACATTCACAAATATAAGGAATCACTGTTCTCTAAAATCAACCTTACACACATCAGCACCATGCGTATACGTTTTACATTACTATCCCGTTTGCTTTGGTTTTGCACTTTTAGTAGGAGTGTTTATTGCAGGACTGTTGGAGCCAGGGAACCTCATAAACTGAGAACTGACTGAATATCTCAAATGGAAAACCAGCAACCCCAGCTTAGGTTTTCTGTAGCTTAGATCAAATACATCCTCTTCATCTGTGCTGCTCACCTTCCTTTTCTCTCACTTTTTAGACTCCCGGGGTTCCAAAGGAAGCAGCAGAGCAGCTGTTACACCTCACACACAGCCTCCGCAAGACAAACGACCCCACAGTAAGTGTGCGCGTGTGTGTGTGTGTGCTCTTACCACTTTGTTTACATGTGTGTGCTGTAAGTCATTTATTTGTGTATGGTGTGTGTTTCCAGGCACAGTCTCTGGCCTCTTCTCTCTCCACCAGACAGCTGTTGAGAATCTGTCGCCGTCTCTCTCGGTACCCAGAGGAGAGTGTCGCTCACGCTGTCAACAAGGCGTGTCTCTCCAGGTAAACCCAGACACACACAGTCAGCCTTGTTTCTGTGTGTTTATCTGGGTTGTAAGGTCATTTTTAATGTTACATGACTGTGTGCACCGGTGAGTAAGTGTGTGCTTGTGTGTTGCAGGTTCCTGCCCACCCTGGCTCGTGCCTCTCTTCAGAAAAGCCTTGCCAGCTGCTCCATACAGGACACACCAGGTGCTGCTGAACAGGCTCCAGAGTACAGCTGTAAGCTCCACACTGCCTGTTCAAGGCAGGATTATTGCACCATTTTCCACCATGACATTCTGTATAAAAAGCACCAAGCCAGCATGGGGGTCAGCATTGACCCTCCTTTATTCTGCCTTAAGAGGTAAAAAAAAAAAAACACTTGGTCCAACCGTTCAGCCTCAGCCTTTGTTTTAAAAGGTGAGAGGCGACTTGTGGGTGGAGGTTTGTGAAGTTTTGATGAAATGTTGTTGGGATTTAAATTTTAATGTTGCTCACAAGAAACAGAATCTGTGACCATGATTGTCAACACGTTGTACACTGCACAACAGCTCTGAGTTTGAATCATGTCATAAATTGGGGGTGCTCAGTAGGAAGAGAAATGTTCAAACACAGCCACAGCGAACCCTGTCTTGCATTTCTCCAGGTGTGCTAAAGGATGGTGTGCTGACTATTGGCAGTGTGTCGACTCCCGTCTACAACCCTTACGAGAAAATGAAGGTTCCAGATGTGCTCTTCTATGATAATCCTCAGGTAATTACACACCCTTCACAACCAAACATGTAAGTAGTGACACACCAAGGCTGTATTTTACAGGGCCCCTGTAAAAGAAGTCCAGAAAGATAGATCAGAAAAAAATAAGGAATAATCATTTGTTACCACTGCCAAGGAGGTTCAGTTTTTACCACTGTTGACTGGTGTCTTTGTTCATAGGTTAGTTCATAGCATAACTCAAAACGAAATGATTGGATTTTAATGACTTTCTTGAAGAGGTAGGGTCCTTTACATTTTGTGATGATCCGGATCATCATCCACAAAACGTTTTCTCCCAAACCGAGAAAGACAACACTGTGTATTCATCACCACACAGTATTCATAGCAGTGTTCAAATGAGGTCATACACCAATGAAAAGACAACTCTGATCCTCCCTTCAGTCTCATTCCTCTTTCTTTCTTGTCATTATTACCAACACTCAGTCCTTGCTGCAGTGCGTGACACTGTTTCATTATCAAGGATTTTGCGTGCACTTGTGGTATTAGCTGATATTTCCCAAGGCCATGCTCTCTGTTGCTCCTGCTAGGCCCTTTTCAGATGCACTGGAGACTCAGAGATGATAATGTTAGTACCGGCCTGGCAGGAACTCTGCCCCACTGATAACCAGTCAGTTTGTGTTGTCTAACTTTCATAAATTTCAGATGCCAGCAATATTTTCATTTCGGTATCATGCTTATTGATCATATACTGCATAGTACAGAGTCTGCCTTACTGAAGGTTGTTAATGATATTTATTTGGCCACTGATGCGGGTGAATACGTGATTCTTGTCCTGTTGGACTTGACTGCCGCCTTTGACATGGTTGACCATGACATTTTAATATCTCGGTTTCAGGATTTGGTGGGCATTTGTGGTGCTGCCCTAGCATGGTTTAAATCATATTTATCAGGTAGATCAGTGTCTGTCGGGTTGGCAGATGTTGAATCTGTGACAACCCCTTTGTTGGGGTCCCACAGGGCTCAATTTTGGGGCCTCTGCTTTTTTCACTGTATTTACTTCCCCTTGGCTCTATTGTTAGGAAACATGGTGTCTCTTTTCATTGCTATGCTGACGACATCCAGATTTTTATGCCTTTGAGTAAGAAGGACACCCACTTGATTCAGACGCTTTTATCGTGTCTTGCTGATATTAATGGCTGGATGTCTCTAAGTCGTTTAAGGTTAAATGATGCTAAAACTGAAGTTATAGTGTTTGGCCCGAATACGCCTGATGACCTTCCCCCGGTAGACTTGGGGTTCTTGGGGCAGTATGTGTGACCGGTGATCACTGACTTAGGTGTTAAAATAGACTCCAACTTGACAATGGAAAGCCAGATAAACGGGGCCATAAAATCTGTTTTTGTCTATTTTAGGCAGTTAGTGAAAGTAAATCCCTTTTTGTTGCGGCAGCATTTTGAGATGGTGATCCATGCGTTTATTACATCGTGCATGGATTACTGTAATGTATTGTACTCTGGAGTCAATGAAACGGGTCTTGCCCGCCTCGAGAGGGTTCAGAATGCTGCCGCTCGGTTATTGGTAGGGGGGCATAAGAGGGACCACATAACTCCAGTTCTGGCATCTCTTCACTGGCTTCCTGTGCGTTTTAGGGTTCGTTTTAAGATTCTTTTATTTGTTTACAAGTCCTTAAATCGGCTGGCACCATCTTATCTTGCGGAACTTTTACGCCTGTATAATCCGTGCCTTAGATCAGCTGATCAGCTTCTTCTGGAGGCACCGAGGGCTAGGCAGAAAACTAGGGGGGGATAGAACTTTCACTGTGGTGGGTCCGAACTTGTGGAATGCATTGCCTCTTTATATTAGGCAGGCCCCCTCACTTTCTATTTTTAAGTCTTATTTGAAAACCTATTTGTATTCATTGGCGTTTGGCCAGGAATGAGACTCTGTCTGTAGTGCTATAGTGTATGTTTTATTGTTTTTATTTTTTTATGCTGTTACAATTTTAGACTTGTACTGTATGTTAAGCACTTTGGTCAGCTGTGGCTGTGGTAAAGTGCTATATAAATAAAAATGAGTTGAGTTGAGAGTTGAGTAAAATTCCTACCTGATTATAATGACTCATGTCCCGCCCTCTATCAGTGGCAGCCTCTCTAAGAAAGTAGGTAAAAGTACGTACCACTGATGAAATCAGCAGTTACTGCTCTGCTAAGCTGCATCAATTTATTTTAGTGATGAGTAGTTGACAACAGGTTTGGAATTTTCTGAGGCAAATTGCATTAGGTGCAGAGACCTGCCCACACATTTGGTTAGATAAACTGATGCTCCTGTATATGCACAGGTAGATGTTGGTGTTTCTGTGCCCATTTTTGCTTATTTTGATGTTGGTGTGTCACGTCCGCTCCCTGTCATACTGGCCAGGAAACATCTAAGGAAATGACATCTCCTTGGTGACGCTGTGTGACCCAGATTTATCTCTGTCCCACTCTCTCACTGTCCTCATTCTGCCCCTTTGTTCTGCCTTCTTGGATTGGAGACTGAAATAAGAATGGAGGGGTGGTGAGATCGGATGAGAACAAGGAGGATGCCCTACTTTTTGAATGACCTGTTTTCTGTCTTAAAGAGTAGCAGCACAGTTGGAATGGTGCAGAAAAAGAAAACCCTCCAGATTTTTAAACAAACCCATGATGAAATGTATTATCATAGTAGGTGAAAATGCCCATCTGTGTAAGTCAAAGCCAAGTTATAACTTGAATATTTGCTTACATGTCTCTGCAGCACTTGATGGTGATGGAGGACATGTTGAAAGACTTTCTGTTAGGAGAGCACCTCGTTTTGGTTGGCAACCAGGTGAGTGACCTGTTACTATAACTACCTACTTCAATTAAAATTCTGCTGTTGCTAAAAAAAGGTCTTGTTGCAGCCAATCACTGAGTCTCACGAGCCTGTATCCACAGAGGTCCTAATGTGGAGTGAAGTAGGCCGCATGTCAGCTGTCTGAGCATGGAAGGCAGAGTTATGAAACAAGATAAGGGAATAAGGAAGCATGTAGCACTTCCCTGGAGATGCTCTGTGCCCCCAGTCTGGTCCCAGTGGGCAGGCTGAGAGGCAGGGCGGAGGAGGAGGACAGAGTGAAAGTGGACATGGTGTACTGGCAGCCCACAGGAGGCTGTCTGTGTGGGTTTGTGCATTAATGTTTGCGTGTGCGTGAGCATGTTAATGAGACTGAGTGGGAGAAACTATTTGCAGAACTGTTTGCATGACCATGCACGGCTGAAGCTGGGACATTAAGAGCAGTGTACTGGAAGTCTGACTGGCTGGCTGAGAGACTCAGCAGCCATCCAGGGGAGGCAGGCTCTGTGGGAAGCCAGTGGGGAGTCCCAGAGAGCTGCCCCTGTCGGAACACAACACCGTCAGAACTGGTCCTGGACACCTGTTTATCCGTCTTCACAGCCTGTTAATGAAACACAGCGGATGTATTATCATTAATTTAATTAAACTGTACTGGGTGTTTAGTTTTCTGCTTTTGTATCCCTCCACAGGGGGTGGGTAAAAATAAAATAGTGGACCGGTTCCTGCACCTTCTGAACAGGCCAAGGGAATACCTACAGCTTCACAGGTGAGGAGAGGCAATGCCTTATTTCAAAGTGCCCAAAACACATTTCCACTGACCGTGTCACATCAGCTTGGGTAACCCTAAACCTAACGTGATTTCAACCAATGTTTCACTACCAGTTGTTTAACCTGTTGAGCTACAGACATAAGGGGCTGTTGCCCTATTATACACATATACTGAGCATACAGATTCCTTTGGTAACTTCTTTTGACCACTGGAAAGCTCTGATGATTCAATGGGGCTTCATCTTTCCATCATTAGTATATACCTCGTTCTCCTAAACACAAAATACCTTTGCTGACTTTTTCAGTTCTCCTCTCTTACTACTGTGCCAGCTTCAGCCTTCCCATCTAAGGGTGTCAGAAACTATGTTGGTCCTCAGTAAATTAGGCCATCCTTCCCCAGAACAATAATTTCACATTCCCATTTTAAAGATTTGAAGAAGTTCATGTTAACTCTGATTCACTGCTTCTATAAATACCTACATACACAGTCATGCCTCGGAAAAATTAGGTCAGAGTTGTTCATCTGTGTTCATCACCGTATCGACGTGTTGTGTGCTGTGAAATCAGCCTCGTTGTTGAATGAAACTTAGGTTAATCAGAGTCAGTTAAGGCCCTTACATTGATCTGAGCACTGATAATAATAGGGTGGCAATGACTTGTGCCGGTGACTCTGTGAGAGACAGACAAACAGAATATCAGTGAAAGTCGCAGATTGTACAAAATGAAGAGCCGAAGTGAGACGTCGTGGAAAAAAATTCTGTGTTACTGTTGTGACCAGTGACACTTAATCTGTGGTCAAACATCGACTGCACTCGGTCTGCCTGTTTGTCAAAGTCTTGTGAAAGTCAAAGTGGAGCCGAGCATGGATGTGTCCTGGTTAGCTACTGTAGCAGCAGCTATTATTAGGCCAGGGCAGAGGCAGGAAGATCTGTGCATGTGGCTCATAGGAGCCTGTGACTGAAAGCCTACAGAGATGTGGCTCAGAAAGGCAAGAGAGATGCAGCCAGCCAGAAAGGAAACTAGGACAGTTTCTGGATCACACTGTGAGCGGGCTGCTGGCGGGGGGCTGCTGTAGTATGTGGGCTGAAGAGGGAGATGTTCAGAAAAAAGAGAGGGAATGATAATTTTGGCCATCACTAGGGAATCAAAGTCATTGGGAGATGCTTCAGTAGTGTTTGTGATTCAGGCCTGAAGTCCAGTGTTACTGACAGTCGTTGTATCTGGCCTGTCTCTGGTGATCAAATGGTAAATAAAGGAACTCTGTAGAGAAATATGAAATGCAGATGCACTGTAGACGTGAGGTCTGTTCATGGAAACCGCCTCTGTAGGTCAATGGAAACACATTTGAACACCGTAAGAACAGAGTAGTGCTTTCTTTAAATAGAAACAGGAGCAGTTTGGGTTTTCTTTCACCTACTCAACTTATAATCTGCACCACATGCTCCTCTCATTCTCCAAACGTCTCTGAAGAACATTCTTGTTCTCTGTAAATGATGGCGACGAGCGTCTTCTAGCAGCAGGAAACTCATCTGGTTTTGGGCGTGTCGAGGTATAAATTTTAGATTAAAAAAAAGAAAAAGAGGATTTTCTTTGTTATCTGAAATTTATACCTCAACACGCCCATTACAAGAACAGATCCTCTTCTTCTTTTTTTAAATTTCTTTATGAAAATCAGCCCAGAAGGCAGGTATATGATCCCATGTTACCGTTTGTTGAGAGCAAGTTAACTGTTTAGAGAGGAAAAGGGAAATGCGAGTTTACTTTTTATTAGAAAAAAATCCATTCCTAAGATCTTCTGAGATTTTTTTTAGTCTGAAGAAACACTGAAGCTGAACAGGAGAATTCTTCACATTTGACCTAATCAGATTTTTTTCAACTCTATTTGAATGAAAGCAAAGGTGCAGTTTAAATGTTTATGTGTTTAACCCTTTTTTCTGCTCCCCCAGAGACACGACTGTCCAGACTTTGACCCTGCAGCCTTCAGTCCAAGATGGCATTATCATGTACGAGGACTCACCTCTGGTCAGTTGGTAACATGCACGCTTATTGTGTTTGTCGTTACCTTTACAGGATTGTCTCCCTTCCATATGTAGTAAATGTTTCAAAATCCTGCAGTGAAAGTAGACACACCACGGTTTCATGAGCCATTAAATGCAGGTAAAAACAGATGAAACGTGACAAATGATGACTTTTCTTATCAGTCACCGGTCACAGTCCTGTGTCAGTGTGGCCTCGTAGATATTCAGGTGTAATTACATGTTCAGATGTTTGCTTTTGTTCCGACATTGATGTGTGACTGACAAGCAGAGCTTTGAAGCTGTGTCAGCCGCTCACACAGTAGCAGTAACGTCACATTTCAAGTCTCTTGTACTGTGGATTGGAAAAGGTCAGGGCGACACAAAGGAAGCACTTGTGAATCAATCAGAAGCAGTCAGTTTTTACTCTGGAGCCAACATTAGCTAGAAAAGAGTCGTCGAACATCTGCAACCCCGCTGTGTTGTTTTTGTCTCTGCCGCCCAGCTTTCACACCACACCCACCCATTTTCCTTTGTCCTCTTTCCTTTGCTTCAGCCTCCATAGCTACAGTCACTTACTGTAACTGAGTCCCATTCATGTCTCACTACAAGCAACCTTTTTCATTTTGACTTGTCATGGCAGAGGAAAACACATGTGTACTCATTAAACTATAATATACTATACTGAACTGTACCACTCCAGGTCCTAGAATGTGGAGTACAGTAAAAGAATCTGTTCGGACATTTCTCATTGTCGATATCGTAGCATCTGTCTGATGTACAGATAAGCACATGAATGTTGATGGTAATTATTTTGCTCCTGGAAGATCTAACGTTTGTTGGCTTCATTTTGTTAAATGTCTCAGTAAGCCATGTTGATGGACTAACATGCTTAATAGTGTCTGCAGTGAAACAAGAACTAGATGTCAGTGTACACCAATAATGATCAGAGGACTAACAACCTGACACAAACTAAGCTCTGCACACCAGTAAGAGCAAGTGGCTCTGTTTTTAATGACAGAATCATAGTTGCATGAAATATTTGATTTTTTAAAAATGTAACCATAGTTGCATGAAATATTTGATTTTTTTAAAATGTAACGACTATTTGAATATCCAAAAATCATTGCCCATCCCTAGTTTTTAGTGTTTTGGCTACTCAGGAGTGGAGGAATGTACATTGTGGGATTAATAATGTCTTATCTTATCCTACAGATTTAAATTCAGTTAAAATCAGTGTAGTAAAAAGAAGGATAAAGGCTATTGCTGTCCTGTCCTAATAAGTACAACAGGAGGGCAAAGGACAGCCTGTACACACCAGCCTTTACTGGGAGACGATTTGGACTTAGTGGTCACAACTTGCTTTATAATATCCCATGATGCACACTGGCTCAAAAACAGAAGAAACTCTAGTCCTCCTAGTACAGTACAGCGGTGATGGTGCCCACCTGCACAGTCCTAAGATCAGACCTAATGAACAGTGGGTGTGTAAAGCCTTTATATATATATATGTACTTTTGGCCATCCTTCCTAACAGTTACAGTCCCTGTACTCATCACGTGAATTACTGACACATGAGAAGGCAGCTTAACTATAAACAAGTCTGACAGACGATCAGACAGCTGCCAGAGAGGTCACCCCTGCTCCACAACACGATCAGTGTCTGTAATGTGCACAGAGCTTCCTCTTTTCACTAATGAAGAGCCACCAACTGAAAGTTTTATCATATATTTTTATATGAATGGTGTGTACATGTGTGCAGGTGAAGGCAGTGAAACTGGGCCACATATTAGTGATTGATGAGGCAGACAAAGCTCCCACTAACGTCACCTGCATCCTGAAAACCCTGGTGGAGAGTGGAGAGATGATTCTGGCCGACGGACGCAGAATCATCTCAGGTACGCACTCATGTATATTCACGTGAACATGCTGGGTTTAACACCTTGATAGCAGACACTTCCCAGATACAAAGTGCAGACAGAATTGGGATCATTAAGTGGACGCACTGAGGATTGGACGTCCTAGAAGACAAAGACGAGTAGAACATCAGATGCAGACTACTAAAAGCCTTTATGGACAGGTACCAGTTGAGTTTGGATCATGCTGGACTGTAAACCTAGTTTTTCCATGCAGTCCTACGTCATCACACTCATGACGCTGACAGCTTCTCCATTCCTGAGAGGCTCTTCCTCCCAGAGAAATGTAAACGCAACCTTAAGACTTCATATACACAAACTGGAGCCAGCTCCCGGTGCTGTCAGGAAAGTAACACTAAATGTACCACCCAGAAACACAAATTAGATCAAAACCTTAAGAATTAAAAAGAGAGTAGAGGCAGAAACTAATGCAGAAATGGGAAAAATGATTGTTGTAGGGTTCCTGTATGCTTTCATGTCTTGTACTAACTTTGACTCTCCTCCAAAGATCCATGTGAAGCCAAGGGGAGGCCCAACTCCATAGTCATGCACCCAGACTTCAGGATGCTTGTCCTGGCTAACCGACCAGGCTTTCCCTTCCTGGGCAATGACTTTTTTGGAGCTCTAGGTATAACACACACACATACAGATGCACAACACCCATGTCCTACTTAAGAGAAAGAGTAATCTTCATTTTTATTTAATGACACTTATTTTTAAGAACTGAGCAACTTAGATAAGAAAAAATAGAAAATACTGAAATCAGATGGTCTGGTCTAATGTCAGACCTTATCCGTTGTTTTCACAGTTTGGTTGTTAGATATCCATAGAAGAACATGACCAAAGACATGTCTCACAAAGTACTTAAATAAATATGTGCGATTAGTAAATCCTGGGATTTGCATTGAGTTTTTCTGAAGTTATAATCCTGTTTAAAACAGTAGCTGTCACATACTTTGCCTGCAGATGTTGAAAGTGCAGCTGCTGAGTCTCTGCAGCTGGATTATACTTACTGGGCCTGATTTAATAATGCTGTTTGAGAGCTAAGCAGATACTTTGCTAGTGCAACTACCACTACAAAAACTGGTGACCAGGTGTTGTCCTCTGAACAGGTGATATTTTCAGCTGCCATGCTGTGGACAATCCAAAGCCTCAGGCTGAGCTGGCGATGCTGAAACAGTACGGCCCCAACGTTCCTGATGCCACTCTGCAGAAGCTCGTGGCTGCCTTCGCAGAGCTGAGGTCCATGGCCGACCAGGGCACCATCACCTACCCCTACTCCACCCGAGAGGTGGTCAACATTGTCAAACACCTCCAGGTGAGAAGGCTCACAATACAACCACATGCGATACATATCCTTCAACTGTACAGTGCTTGTTTTGCTTTTTTATTTTCTCCTATTGTTTTTATCAATAATTCCTGAAGGAGATGTTGCCTGTGATTAAAAAAAAAAAAAAAAAAAAGCATGTCGTCTGTCATGTAACATGTTGTCTGTGCTGTCTGAGATTTATTCACTGTGTGCCGCATGGTTTTCAAAGCACTTTCCTATCCTAGTGCACTGTTTATCTCCTCATTACTCCGAGCCCACAGATTTGCACCACATCTCTCCAGCTCAGCAGGTAGCTGAGAGCAGTTATGGTCATGGTTCATCTTCATGTCCTTTGGAAATCTGAGACCATCAAAGCAACACATTTCATGCTTAGTGTGTTTATTTCTTGTAGTCACGTGGATCCAATCTGTGTAAAATTACTAAAAAAGACTTTGAGGGGAATCTGTGTTGTGATTAATTCAGGAGTTCAGGACCAAAGTGACACATCTCTAAAATAAAAAGAACACAGTTCAACATAGCAGTATTGTAATCATGTTAAGCAGTTTTATTCTGTTACTGCGCTGCCAGTGGTTTAACTCTGTGAGTAGTAAGCAGCTTCTCTGCTCACTCGTTCATCTCCAGAAAAACAGGACTTAGCCATAGTCGCCTTCCATCCCATCATCATCCTCACTAGGCTGTTTACCATTGTCCTGCCAGTACCATCACTTGGAAAAGGAAAACACAAGTGGTATTTTCAGCTTGTGGGTGTGAATGGCTGTATCCAACAGTACACACATGTTTGTTTTGTATGCATTTAGTGATCAGGGTTGTCATATTCTCCTTGTAGTTTTAGATCTTTAGAAATGTACACAGTATTTAGCCCAGAGAGAAAATGATGGTGAGAAGCCAGAAGAGCAAAGAGTTACAATACGATTAGCCTGCACTATAGTAGATCAATAGGTCACAGGGATAAGACCTTGTGTTTGAATTCCCCACTGGCCCCCTGGTTCTGCCACTATTGATTCTGCTGGAGCGGGACAGATACAGGATGAGTCAGTCCAAGTTTAAATAGTTGTTGCAGAGGCATTAGCCAGTGGAGCTTCTAATTATCAGGTCAAATTTGGCCACAGTTGTACCTGTGTGGCGAGTGGGAACCTAAATCAATACAACTCAATGCACTACACATTCAATCTATCTTCAAGTTGTGCAGCATTATACAGTTGTTTATGGGCCCAGCAATGTAGATGCATTGTAATATGTAGGTCTGAAAGTGCAGCTGTGGTCCTAATATTGCACCGCTTTTTCATAGCCTTGCACCTACACGATATGTATGATAAAACACAAAATGTTTCCATTCTCATAATATTTTAGATAACTTCTTGCACTTATACATTTACTCTTGGTGTAAATGTTGCCGTAGTTGTGTAGAAAACATCCTTATCTCAAAGTTTGTTATCAGCTCTGGTAGCCAGGTGTCTTGTATGCATATACAGTTGTGTTCAATATAATAGTAGTCCAACATCACTAACCAGATCAATCACTGTTTTTGGTAGAAATTATATTTCTACATGGCAAATAATTTACTAGGAGGTGTAGAAAACCAACAGAGCCAACAGTCATGGCATGCATGATGCTGATTCTGTGTAATTGAATCATTAATTGAAAGGGGGGGGGTGTTCAAAATAATAGCAGTGTGGAGTTCAATTAGTGGTCTCATTCTTTCTGTGAAGAAACAGGTGTCAAACAGGTGGCCCTTATTTAAGGACGAAGGCAGATGTTGTACATGCTGGTTATAGTGCATTTCTATGTATAATGGGTTGTTCCAGACATTGTTCAGAAGAGCAGCGTACTTTGATTAAAAAGTTGATTGGAGAGGGGAAAACTTATAAAGAAGTGCAGAAAATGATCTCAAATGCTTTAAAATGGCAACCAAAACCAGAAAGACATGGAAGAAAATGGAAAACGACCATTCGAATGGATTGAAGAATAACCAAAATAGCAAAGACTCAGCTCCAGGGTGATCAGAGAAGGTCTATAGTTACCTGTGAGTACTGTAACAATCAGAAGACGTCTGTGTGAAGCCAAGCTATCGGCAAGAAGCCCCCGCAAAGTCCCATTTTTGAAAACAGGACATCTGCTGAAGAGGTTACGATGTGCCAAAGAACACACTGACTGGCCTAAAGAGAAATGGCGCAACATTTTGTGGACTAAAGAAAGCAAGATTGTTCTTTTTGCATCTAGGGGCCACAGACAGTTTGTCAGACGACCCTCAAACACTGAATTCAAGCCACAGTACACTGTGAAGGGTGGTGGCGCAAGCATCATGATATGGGGATGTTTCTCATACTGTGGTATTGGGCCTGTTTATTGCATACCAGGGATCATGGATCAATTCGAATACTTCAGAATACTTTAAGAGGTCATGTTGACTTATGCCGAAGAGGAAATTCAAATGGGTGTTTCAGCAAGAGAACGACCCCAAACACACCAGTAAGCAAGCAACGTCTTGGTTCCAGACCAACAAGATTAACGTTATGGAGTGGCCAGCCCAATCCCCGGACCTTAATCCAAAAGAAAACTTGTGGGGTGATATCAAAAATGCTGTTTCTGAAGCAAAATCAAGAAATGCAGAGGAATTGTGGAATATAGTGCAACCGTCCTGGGCTGGAATACTTGTCCACAGGTGCCAGATGTTGGTCGACTCCGTGCAACCAAGATGTGAAGCAGTTCTCACGAAATAGTGGTTATGCAACTAAATATTAGTTCAGTGCTTCACAGGAAAGCTAAATCTTCAAGCAGTTTTCAGTTTATACAGTAAATGTTTGAGTTTGTAAACAGCCTAATATTCCTGTTTCTTCACTTTCTGTAACAAATTTGATACATTTTTCTTCATGTTTTGATTTGGAATAGAATGTGCAATGTTCCCAATGCATCTGTGTGTATGGAAATAAAAGCTATTATAAGGATTTCGAACTTTACTCACTTTTTAAAAAACACACTGCTATTATTTTGAGCACAACTGAACAGTGCCTGCATCAGGACCATCGCCTTTTCTTCTAAATTGTCAACCAATGCCTAATTAAAGTTACTACAGCCTAGAGTAAGGTGTGCAAGTGTGTAAAATGTCAGTCTTGGGTGTGTGAGTTAGAGCATGTAGGTGTGTAACTACTGTATTCTGTGACATGTAAGAAGACACATGTACTCACTCCTGCCCTGCTGAGAGGAACTCACCTGCACTAATCTGTCCCCCAACATTTTAGCAGCTTGGTAAAGATCTCTTGTCTTTTGGAAGCCTCTGTCTAAGTGCCGTTGTACAGCAGCTCCTTCTCTCTGTTTTTCTGCCTTTATTGCCTCTTCACCAACCAATCACCACAGTTACTGTATAACACTGAAACATTACTGAGACGGTATAACTTGTGGCTCTATAATTACATCACAAACACAATAACAAGTGCTGTAGTAGCCTCAGCAAAAGACGCATGGCTTTTTTTTTTTGTATTTTTCCATGCTGTCCCTGCTCTGACCCCTGTTCAGAAAATGTAAATCATATTAACTGTCTCTCCTTCTCTGCCCCTCTTCTTTCTATCCTGTTTTTCCTGTTTCTCTTCCTACTTGTCACCCTTCCTGCTCATTTTTCATTCTTCTTCCACAACTCCCTTCATCCTTTCCACCTTTGCTTCTCCCTGCTTTCTCTTTATTCTCTGTTCTCTTCTCTACCTTTTCCTACCTTCTCTACTTCCAAACAGAAATTCCCTGATGAGGGTTTGGCCAACGTGGTGCGGAATGTCTTTGATTTTGACTCATACAACAAAGACATGCGGGAGGTTCTGATTGAAGCGCTGCACAAGCACGGGATTCCCATCGGAGCCAAGCCCAGCTCTGTGCAGCTGGCTAAGGAGTAAGCATCAGGAGCACAAGACACTAGGATGACACCCAAACACACACCCATGTAGATGCAGTACCAGACTAATGCACAGACACACTGTCAGACAGTCATGCAGTTACAGATGCAAGTAATAGAGGGGGCAGTGGCATTACTTTACAGCCCACCTGGGTATTACAGTATGAATCTCTGTGTGTGTACACCTTAAAAAGATACTGCAAATCTTCATGGGCCACCACAGCTTGGCAGAGGTACACCTACTGTGATAGCTGGGTGCACCAAGATATAGTAAAAGTTTTTATTCAGTGACAGAGCAGGTCAGACTTTGTTGTCATACTTGCTGCTGCTGGCAGAGGTGATGCTAACTGTACCTCCAGGGAGGACGGGTGCTGTGGACAGTGACTAAAAATGTCATGCGCGCTCCAAAAAAGTAGTGCAAGTTAAATCCTTTTGACGTTCTTCATTTAAATCCTGTCCTTTCAGAACCAGGTTCCTTAAACAGTTCCATACTCTGCTGTTCATTTTCCTTTTTAGTATGATCACATGTGCTCTATGACTGATCATTAAAACAGAATGAAGACTGCACTTTGTTGATTTTTCCATGTTGTTATATTATTCTGTTAGGGAACAATATTTAGGATAAATTAACAGAATTTACTATTGTGATTGTAGAAAGCAAAGCTAATGAAACACATTATTAATGACACCTTATTAGACCTGCAAAGGTTCTAAAATAATTCTCCCGAAGTGGCTTCTTTATGTGAGAGGTTCTTGAAGTTACTTTTGTGACCGGTTTTGTAGAACCTTTCTACAAGCTTGTCAGCAGAACCTCTCTGTGGCGAAACCTTCTGGAGCGCTTCTTGCTGAGAGTGAACCTGGTAGACATCGTTTCCTGTTTGTTTGTTTTTTGAGTATTAGAAACAAAATCCTGAAATGCTTGAAATTGGCTGATGTTGTGTTTTAGCCCTGTGACTGGATTAAACTCTGAGGCTTCCATGAAGTCTCCACACTACTTCCTGGCTGTCTGACCACTCATGTGACCTCACCTTTCCTTTAAGGGAAAGATAAGGATATTCTAATATCCACTACACTGTCTCTCTGTGTACAGCTTTGTATTTTAAATAAAGGAAGATATTTGTTTCTTCTGTCTCCTGTGGTTTTATTTTGACTTATCACATTCATAAGTTCTCCGTCATAAACCTCTCAAGACAGATCTTGAGAATGGAGCAGGGCAGAAGCAAGTATGTTCCTTGGTCTATATGTCATTTATTGTATCAGTCATATCTGGAATTGCATCGTCCAGCCTCAGTGCAGTTTTTCTAGCTGTTGGGACCCATGCTTTAGTGATTTTAACACCCATCTTGAACACTTTATATTGGATTAGTTGCTTTACCCACAGCATTGTCTGTACATAAAAGCAAATATTTTGTCTCTTAATTTCCAGTTTTGGACATGCAAGACTAGAAACAGTTCCCCTTCTGTGTATGATTGTGTTTCCATACAGTAGAAGTTTGTATGGATAGAGGACTGTCCATTCCCTCACCCTTCTATCCCTTTGGAGTTTCTGTGTTTTGTGGTTGTGTTGCATCTTTCACTCCACCTGTAGCCAATAACACTGTGGCCACAATTTAGCTATGATTTATGGGAAGAGCAGTAAAAGTCACTTGTCCCACATACATGGGATTTTCCCTCTCTAGGGAATGTCTTTGCATGGATTCCTGCTCCCAACAGAGTAACACTTTCATTTGAAGTCAGTTTGTGGTGCCTGTGTTGACTGCATCATGAGATGAGTTCATTTTAATTTAAAATGGGAAATGGTGACAGTGAAATCCATCATTTCCCAAATGAAAAATGAGGAAACAGCAAGATGTGCATCAAGGTCAAAAGCACAAATGGTATTCACTGGCATAGTCATTCCACAGTTGTTCAGGTCTCACCCGGCAGTTGTCACCATGTGATTTTCGATCTCTAGGTTGCCCCTGCCAGAGGTTCAGATGACGGGGTACTGGACAGTAAACCAAGATGGCAATGCCCGCCGTAAACTGCTCTGCCCCACTGAGACACACTCCATAGACATAAAGGTAAACGCACAAAGAAAATGGGTAGAAGACCTTGAAAGTTCCCTAGCAGACAGACCAGATCACGGAGTGGTTTAACGACACTTTTGTTTCAGACGTTTGTCTGTTGTGAAAACTTGTCAATCTTGAGATCCATTGTAAGTGACATCAGTTTAAAGTTTAAACAGCTGCTGTTCTGTACAAAGCAGTACTGTATCAGGATTCTTGGAGAGAAAAGCTAAAGTGTAAATAAGCAACCTTGTGATCTGAACCTAGTTACACAGAATTCCAACTATAAACACCAGTATTGTTTTCATACTTTGTGTGCACTACTGTGTGTCTGTGTCTCGTGTTTCCAGGGCCCCGTGTTTCTGCGTGTGCAGGGTCACCCCTGCAACCGGCAGGAGAGCAGGGCTTTGAGTTTCAGTGAAGAGAAAGCCCACTGGCAGCTTCCCATGAATGAAGTCAACATTATCTGTGATGTCACCGCCAAAGATGGTATATACACACACACACACACACACACACACACACACACACACACACACACACACACACACAGTCGTACAACACATTCTCAGGTTCCATGCTTTGTGTTCATTTAGCGGTATATACTGTAGGAGGATCCAGTGGATGACGCTTATGACAAAGGAACATTACATATAAAACAGAGGGGAGGAACAACAAAACAAGACATTTCACTGGTGTTAAGTCTTATGGTTTCACTGTGTGTGTAGGTGCACAGATGTGCAGCGAGCGACGCTTCCAGTAAAGGTTGAAGACATGATTTTTACTGGATATTGACAGAAAAGGACAAATGTAAATAAAAAGTCAGTTAGTATACTAATAAAAAAAACTAGGTTAAAAATTTTATGGATTCTGTCAGATTAGTTTCATTTTCTCCTATAGCAGGAAGAAACAGAGTATCACTGGTAAACAACATTAAAACCCCAGAGCAAGTACAACGCAATAAACATATTGTCAGAAAGGGTATAAAAGATGTATAAAAGTCTGTAACTGTATATTGAGTTAGATATTTGCAAGATATTAGTCTTAGAAATTAGTATAATCATTGAACAGAAAAAAACTAATGTAACACAAGTAACTAAATCAGTAGAAGAGGGAGTCTGTGCACTACTGTACAGGAAGAATATGAAACAAACATCGTACTTTTGGAAACGCCAGACAGATCTGACAAAACAGTGGATGTAACTCAGGAGTGAACAGTAAATTCAGATCCTCATTACTTTGTGTCATCACTGACAGATGCAGAGTCGCACAGTTTTTCCATCTATAAAATATACCGCGTTTTATTGTGGCATTGTTTGTAGAACGTAGTGTACATGCCGTGGTCACTAGCGATCTGCCGACTGTAACAGACACGTGTTACAAAATGAATTCACTGAAATCCCATGTTTTCTTAGGTGTGCTGTATGTGGCCACGTGTAACCCGGTGTCCCTGTACTCCATGAAGGAGGGAGGAGACACAGTCCACTGCGTCGAGCTCTATGACATCTTCCCCAGGACCATCAGTGGTGTCTGGCAGCCCTTTGCCACTGTTGCTCCCCTTGGGAGTCCTCTGGATGGACAGGTGGTGCTACACGAGGAGCAGGTTTGGGCACACACACACACACACACACACACACACACACAAAGGCAAGCTTGTGTGACTGGACAATTACACAGATTACATTAGATTAGATTCAGTGGCTTTTTTAAACCCATGGTAAAACATAGCTGTCACAGCTGTGAAGATCCTGTGACAACATCCTGTGAACATGTTGGTCATGAACCTGTGGAGTGTAAATAATCAAAAATGTTTCACTAAAACATGGTGTGTCATCTTTAAGAGTAAGGAAGCAGCTTTTCCTTCCATTTAATGATAGACAGAGGGCTAGGATGTCTGACCATGGAGGGCAAACTCTGGCCACTATGAGCTCGAGATGTGACTATTGAAGCCCACTTAGGTCAGGCTGCTTGACCATCCTGACTATAACATCACTACATGAGATGGATTCAACTTTGCACCAAGGGACAGTGGTAATAATGACATTTTTAACCCTAGAAACATCAGTTTGGCCACGTTTTTGTGTTTTATATGACAATATTTACACTAGTTTAATTAGTATTTATAGCTTTAGAAACATTTGTTTGTTTGAAACCTGCATTGTTGACATTGTTTGCAGTCTCTTCCTGTGTTTACTGTGGCTTTCCTACCTTTTGCAGTACATTATTACCACCAGCTAGTGCACTCTGCAGTTGACATGTATAATTAACACTTCATCCCCCTGTATACTCACGCATGTCCATGTTCACATACCATGAGCAAAGGGACACACAGCGAACAGCATGACTTGTTCATTAGAACATTGTTTTATAGGAAAAGCCACAAGCAGAAAACTGGAGATAAAACAAGTAATAAAACACACCTGTACACTGACACAGTAACTGTCACAAAGGAATAACTGTGCAATCATTCTCTTTGTTTGTCGACATCTGTAGCACAAAACGTGACACAGTCTTTAAACCTTTATGTAGAGAACAACTACAGATTCCTCAGAGATTTAAAATAGCTGTACACAAGTGTGTTGGTGTCTTAAAATGGTAGGTCGTTCGTGGTTGTTGTGCTGCTGAAACTCTCCAAACCCTGGTCAGTGACAGCAGAGTATAAGAACAATGCATGTTAGCTATTTGTCCAACCAGAGCACTTGTACAGCTGGTGCATATTAGGCAAGAGGAGGACTTCTAAAAATACCGTTGTGATGGATCATGTCTAAACATGAAGAGGTCCAGACAACATGAGGTTCATTCACAGGTCACTGGCCTTCCAGGGAAATCAAGGAGACCAGCAGAGATAACACTTAAATACACATCTACACACGCACATTCTACTAGGCAGTACATATTAATGCATGTACATGCATGATTGTGAAAATGTATCCAAATGTAGTACTGCTCTGTTCAAGGACCTGCAAAAACAAACAGACAGACACAGGTATGTACAGCAAACCTACACACACACACAAGCTGAGTGCAGCGTCCCAGCTTGTCAGACAACACACCCGCATACAGGACATATGTGTGTCCAAAGACAGTACATGTTTAGAATCAGGAAACGGGCTTTGCTCTCTCTAAGTAACTCAGTACAGCAGTGTGTGTCAGGAGGCCATAAGGAAACCATTAGTGTGCAGCAGGGCAGCCAGGGCCCAGGCCAGCTCCCCTGTGGCTCCTTCTCATAAAACCCAATCAAAGATGAAGCCTTGTGCGTCACAAACAAAAGCCTTTTGCACAGTTCACACAACACACACCACACATACACACACTCTCAAATATTCTACTGCTCATCTGTTATCAATGAAGGAAGCACATATGAACAGTAAGCCTATCTAAACTGAATTAAATGAGCTTGTAGTGCAGTGTGTTCACATAAGTTGGACTCAGATCCAGTGGCTTCCAGTGGGAGAAGAGCCCCCTCTGTTGGCTTATAGAGCTAGAAGCTATTCAATGTAGAACATACTGTAGCTAGAGTCCCAGTTTTGGCATGTTATTGTAATGGTTTCCTCAATAATGTAATAGTAATAGAAGGCTGCCTTATGGAGGTATAAGCATGTTTAAATATTATGACATTTGGCTCAGAGTTCCCATTTTGGTTCCACTTTCTATTTGTGTCCCTGGCAGAGCAACACAGTGCTCCATCTGGACCTGGAGACGGGCGCCGTGCGGAGGCTCATGTTGTCTCCGGACAGTGATCAGCCCTCCGGAGGCTCGAACTGGTGGAGCAGTAAGGAACAGCAGGTCAGAGGTTTCAGAGTCTCTAGAGAGACGAGTGGCTCCTGAATGCTCATCTGCACTGTTCATTCAAGGAAGAGACTAGACTTGTTGTTTTCTCATGAGTCCAGTCTCACATGTTTGCACTTTACATATTTGTTTTTGGTGATTAACTAGAATGCATGCTCCTGTCCAGAAGGTTTTTCAAGGTTTTGGTGCTGATTGTGTTTATAGCAGTGAAGAATAATCACAGAACAAGTTGTCCAAAACAAAGATGGAAGATAATACACTGTGTGTTGTTTGCAGGGAGGACATAAAATGTGCCGTGACTTTGCCCACAAAAACTGGCTTCTCTTCTATAAAGAGGGCGGGTAAGATGCCTTAAATTAAATGACCACAGCGATGTTTAAAAACAGCACGGTTACACAGTGGTGTCCATCGCTGGTCTGTGTGCTTGTGTTTGCAGCAACCGGCTTGAGGTGCTGGATGTGCTGGAGGCCCAGGTTCACTCCATCTCACTCCCGATCAATCTGAAGTCCGTCTTCCTTGTGGCAGAGGACCGCTGGTTGCTCCTGGAGGGCAACACCAACAAGTGAGTGATGGATCTCAAATCTCCCCCAGTGTCTCACTGAATTGAATTAAATTGTAATATGACTCTGTATGTTTCACTGAACAGGAAGTTCTTGTTGACCAAGCCCATGCACACGGCGGCCGAAGACTCTGGAGTGTGTCAGCTACACAGTATCAGTGAGGACCCAGTCAGCTCAGGCCATGGAGTCAGCTCAGGTATATCCAGGGATAAAACATCGCACACACAACATCTTGCTGCGCTGTTAGCAGTTATTAAAGACAGTATGTCAACACTACCAAGCAGATAGATGTACAGAGGGACAGGCTAGTGCCCTGGGCAGCCATATGTCTGCCTTGACAGAGCTTCTTACCTAATCTGTGACCTGGCCAAGTGAACCAAACATGTTTTAATCAATATTACACACATTCAAATCATTCCATGTCCCACTGTGAACAGAATGTGGAGTTGAGTCGTGAGTAATGCCCAACAACACAGACTATGTCAGCCAGCGTGGGTCAGACATTACTGTATTAACTCATCATGCTGTGTTCTGCCCTTTTGGCTGCCTCCCCCCTCCCCCTTCATCCTCCCAGCTGAGGTGTCTGTGCCCCAGATGTTGTCATGTGAGCAGCTGCCCAATGAGAACCTCAGTGCTGCTCTGGACCAGAAGATTGTTTCACCTAGCCGTGTACTGGCTGACACCGGCTCCTTTGCACGGGTTGTCGTGGGCTTCCCAGACCTCATGGTGAGATTATACAAAAGTGTTTGTAAAACGTCTTCATTTCATGTCAATTTAATCTGTCTGGTGTGACAACAGCTTCTCTGTACAAAGGGAAGATATCTACAGAGGAGACTGGGCAACTTGTGAAATGTCTTTAGTTCACTAGCATCACATTCAAACTTGTAAAAGTTATTTTTCACCATGTTTTACTAGAGTTCCTGCCTCAAGTGGATGAGTTCAAGTATCTTGGGGTCTTGTTCACGAATGAGGGAAGGATGGAACAGGAGATTGACAGGCGGATCGGTGCAGCTTCTGCAGTAATGCGGTCGATGTACCGGTCCGTCGTGGTGAAGAAGGAGCTGAGCTGTAAAGCGAAGCTCTCGATTTACTGGTCAATCTACGTTCCGACTCTCACCTATGGTCATGAGCTTTGGGTCATGACCGAAAGGGCAAGATCCCGGATACAGGCGGCCGAAATGAGCTTTCTCCGCAGGGCGGCCGGGCGCACCCT